ATGAGAGGCAACGTTTTTCCTACAGCCATTTGTTGCAAATATTTTAACATAGAACTTTGAGTCACCGGCATATGAAAAGGTTAGAAATTCTCCATGTGCCAATGAATTTTCTTGCACAAATTCTGGCCAACCTTCCTCAAAAAAGAGATCATCATTGATTTTGTTTATGTGAACCATCCAAAAGAGGTTTGATGACGTTCCAAGCATTACATTTCGAGGTATTTTTCTACCAAAATTCTCAATGAAAGCCGGAGGAATTCTCTAAAATAGAAGAACAGATTGGTTTTTGGTCAGGACAAAGACTTAAAAAATATATTAGTTGGCCATGATGGTTTCAACCAAGAGAAAGGGAATACAATACCAATCTTTCAGACCAAAGAGCAGCCATATAAACTTTGAAGAACTCTGGGAGTTCATCGGGGTAAGAAGCATCTTCAAGAGATTTCACCATTTCTTTTCCACAGGTATGAACATCAACCCTGTAATTCATAAAATCGGAGCTGTTCACGATGTTTCCAATTTTAGAGTGGGGAAATAGGAACATAAGGGAACTGAAATTACAGAAACTAAGTACAAAACCTTTGTTCAGTAGCATTAAATTTAACACACAACAATCAAAGCTTGCAGTTAATTCCATGCTAAACCAATTATCGGGCTTCTAGGATATTTAGAACTAGATACAGGGTTCCATAAATATTAAATAACGTTTAATTTTTCATGTTAAAAACATCTTAGTATACAGCGTTCAATGTACCATGAAATTAACTCATGTCACATGGCTTATTGCTCATAGTGGTTGCCTCAACTTAATAGGTTTTGATAGTGACATTCTAATAAATAGCTGGAGCACTACCCTAGTGACACATCTCTCACCTTCAGACAAGGAAAAATGGTATGAACAACGATAGTATCACATCATCTTAATTCCATACCATACACACACAGCAACCTTATGTTGAAGTAGGTCTACAATTGGTTCTGGGCCACATACATGCTACATCCGAACTGGTCAAACCGGGACAGAACCTATCGTTATATGAAATCAAGAACTGGTTAGTTCCAATCAAGTTCCTTATATTCACTAAAGAACCAAAAGTTTCTTTTGGTTCTTTTCTCTTCTGCCATTCTTTTTTCTTCAACTCAATTGGTGAAACTTTTTCTTATTTCCTTTTCCAGCAAATTGCAGTGTTAGAACATCTTCAAGAGTCTCTTTAAACATGTGAAACTCTCTATTTTAAAGAATCAACCCTTAAAATTATGCTCTAAGAGACTCTTTAAATTAAAATTTTAATTTAGAAAGTAAATTTGGAGAGCTAAACTCATTCTCTATAATTAAATATATTCAAAGTGTTTCTATTTTTAATATAGAAAAATAATAAAATAATCTAGAAAAAAGCCAGTTAAAATAAAAGATAGAGAAAAGTAGTAAATATTTTTTTAGAGTAGTCAAATTAAGTGTTAAATATAAAGAGCTTGTTGAAGTATTTCAAACTCTAAATTTATAGGTGCTCTCTAAATAATAGAATATACTATTTAAAAATAGAGAGTTTCTAAGAAATGCTCTTAGTCGAATATAAATATTGAAATTAGATGTTTAATATTGTAGCAATTTAAGCACTAAGGTGCTGCTATTATGAATTGAAGTTTTCATTTTATTTTTGTAGAACCATGTGATTATTGTAATTTTGTACTATCCCAAGAATTGCCATTTAAACTAAAACAAACATGGAACATGAACCAAGTTTAAAAAAAAAAAGGAAAAAAAAAAGAACCGATTGGACCCGAACCGATTGGTTCAATCCCGGTATCTACGCCAGGAATGGAAATGGTTCTATTTTAGAAATCCTAATTGGAAATGGTCAGGTTCGATTTTCTAAGAAGCGGATCGTGCCCACCCCTATTCATAGCCCGGGCCACGGACTCATCAACATTTATTTATTTTTATGTTAGCAAGTACAAGAAATGTGATTGCTCATGTTCATGTTCTAGCTAAACGTGATTGCACTTTTCCGAGGCTGTTATGGCTAATATTAATGAAATCTAGTCCGTACTTCTCTCAAAAGAATGAACATTAATTTCTTCAAAACCCCTGGCCAAAATGCTGTAAAAAATACTAATAAATGAAATCCCATGTGAAACTTCTTCAAAAAAATAGACACTGATTACATAAAAAAGTAAAGGGATGTAAACAAAAATTCTCCGAAAGCCCCAAAAAAAAAAAAAAATGAATATGCTGCGGTTAAAAACAATATACCTCAAGAAAGTTTGCAAAGAATATGACTGCTGAAAGGGA